CCTGAGGGGGGGGGGGAGCGGGGGGGGGGTCGGGCTCTGCTCCCAGGGAACGGGCGATGGGATGAGGGGGAATGGTTTGAAGTCGCACCAGGGCAGGTTTAGGTTGGACATTAGGAAAAATTCCTTCCCCAAAGGGCTGTCAGGCTCTGGAACGGGCTGCCCAGGGAGGTGGTTGAGTCCCCATCCCTGGAGGAATTTAACAGAAGGGCAGATGAGGTGCTGAGGGACATGGTTTAGTGGTGGGATGGCAGGGTTAGGTTAATGGTTGGGCTTGATATCTTAAAGGGCTTTTCCAACCAAAGTGATTCTATGAATCCCTACAGTTTCATTTCACCTCTGCTCTGAGAGCAGCACGGGCTGATGGCCAAAGGCCTGCGCCCGCCGCACTACACGCACTACACCTCTGCACCAGGGGCACCTCCTGGAACAACCGCGCCAGAGCTCCACGGTAAAGCTTGGCGGTTGTTCTCCTACGCCGTTCAAACATGCAACCTCCATCGCTCCACTGAAGCCATTTGCTCCTCTGGGTTTTGGTCAAGCACTGAGGTGTGAAAGGAGAAAGAAGAGCCCAGCAGACCCAGCCAGAGCCGGGCAGCTAGTCGTTACGCACACACCCAACCTGCCCATTACGGCGTAGATCATCTTCTTACATTGCACCCTCTGCATTTTTTTTTTTTTTTTAATTTAAAGTCAAAAATTCCTTTCCTAATGAGAAGCCGTTTGTTCTCAGTGGAAAACTGACCTGACCTCAGCTCGGAAGCACGGGAAGCCTGGGTGTTTAAGACCAAATCCTACAGACACGAGTGCTGTTTTAGAGGACCACACAACATGAGTTATTAAACCACCACAGGTATCAAGCCTGAAGAACAGAGAAACTGTGAGTGGAGGTGACTGCCTGTGGCAGGGATTTGTACGTACCGGCTCTTTTTAAATGACACCGTGAGAGAAGCTGGCATTACATTTCCATTTTATGCCAGAAGACCCACGTTTGTGTACATTCAAGTTGGACAAGTGCCTGACAAACCAGAGATCACCAAGGATTTCCAAGAAGTCCACTGACTTCCCTTTAAACCTCGACCCCCCCTAGGACTGCTCTGGAAGTTAAGGTAAGCGTTCCTCTGGCCCAGGGTTTCACCCTAATCCGAGACACAGCCACTGCTCGCAGCATCCTTGTAATCCCACTGCAAAACACAGGCAAGACCTCATAAGCAGATGCAATCCTCTTCTGCTACTGCTAAAGAGGTGTTCGGCATTTAACCCTGTCCTGCCCTGCAGCCCAGAGGGCACAGACTAACCAGCTCGGGGTGGGGGGCAGAAGAAAAGAAGGAAAAGAAGAGAAGGAGGGCAACAAGGATGATGGGGGGACTGGAGCATCTCCCCTACGAGGAAAGGCTGAGGGAGCTGGGCTTGTTCAGCCTGGAGAAGAGAAGACTGAGAGGGGACCTCATCAACACGTACAAATATCTTAAGGGTGGGTGTCACGAGGACGGAGCCAGACTCTTCGCAGTGGTGCCCAGAGGCAGGACAAGGGGCAATGGGCACAAACTTAAACATAAGAGGTTTCAGTTGAATATGAGGAAGAACTTCTTGACTCTGAGGGTGATGGAGCTGCCCAGGGGGGCTGTGGAGTCTCCTTCTCTGGAGATAGTCAACTCCCGCCTGGATGAAGTCCTATGTAACATGCTCTAGGAGAACCTGCTTGAGCAGGGGGGTTGGACTGGGTGATCTCCTGAGGTCCCTTCCAACCCTTGCGATTCCGTGATTCTGTGACCCATGAGTATTTTCAAAATTAGCAAGGAATCCACTTATCGATAAAAAAATAGGCAAAGGCTTTGCAGCAGCAGCAAGCCTGGTGCTCAAGAGATGCATTTTCCCTTTGTCTTCCCTCCTGGGAGCAGAACAAGAGGCGGTTCCGCCATCATGGGCTCCACGTGCATTTCAGACACCTGCCTGGTGCCTACCTGGGAACCTAGGGCAGCTTGCAGACCTCAATACAGCCCTCCCAGAGGAGGCAGGCAGCAGGGCATGGATCCAGTGCTCTAACTCACTCAAATCCCCCATGGCCTTGGTTCGCTGTGTTTACATATGTGTGTAATTAATACAAAACCCAACCCATGTTGGTCACAGAAGGTGGTGACATGAACTGCAAGGCTATGCATTGTGTTTTATGCCTTGTTTTACTCTTTCCTTTTTTTGAAATGGAGAGGCTACTAAAATAAACCTAGCAGTGCTGTCTTCCACCATGGCCGTTGCATGAACTCAACAACTTCTTCAGCACGTTGAGCTTGCCAGCATGCCGGTGATGAGCACGTCCTCATCCAGATGAAGGCATCTAGAAACTCCTCTATTAGAACAACCACCGTCTCGCTTCATTCACCCCTGTGGGGGGATTGTAACGAACGGCCAGCGCTTGGGAGCTTCACCTGCCCCCCCTCTCGGTTTATTTGTGGTGCCGCAACCACCAACCCCAAATTCACCAAGCTCCCCTGTTAATGGGAAACAAGAGGCTACACATCTCATCCTTTCCCTTTCAGTGCAGTCTTCATTCCCGGCCGAAGCCGGATGCAGGCTGTCAGCATGGATGGTCACATACACGTATTCTCAGTCCAGCATGAAATCCAGAAGCCAGGACGAAAGAGTTTTCTAGATGGGGTTGTCTTCTGAAAAGAGCACATTGGCAGCTCTAACCAGAAAGCTGCGAGCAGTGACAAAGCGATGGCATCATGCAAACCTACCCGCTGGAGCGAAAAAAAAAAAGCAAGCCTAGATACAGAGGTGAAGCTGACCAGGACCACCGCCCCCTCAGCA